ACAAGGGTTTGGACAGGCACCACCACGGGCCGGCGAAGAGCCTCTGCCGGTGCCCCACCACTCCTGCTGATGCCTCTACCTGAGCAGCTCACATCTGTTGGGGTCAGTCTGGTCATAGATGGTCTTTTTGAGGATGCGGCTGAGATGGAGCGGCAGCCAGCAGAGTGCAAAGATGACCACCAGGCAGAAGACGGTCTTGGCCACCTCCCGGCGCTGCAAGGAGGGAAGGGGTGGTCTGGCTGAGCACTGGAGAGGGGGCGGAGCGAAGCACCATCTCCCCATGCTCAGCAAGGGCCCTGCAAGTCATTTCTGTCATCTAGTGAGGGCTGGGCACCCCTTTTGGGTCCAAAGCACAATCTGCAGGTCCCAAATCCTGCATCATGAGGGGTAGGGTACCAGCAGCGCAATATGGACCAAGCTCCTTCACATCCCTTCCCACTATTGCTCCTGGTGGGACACAGGGGCCTCATCCATCCACCCTTCATGTTGTTGTGACAACCAGTGGGTCTGCCCCAAGGGATCATTCTGCAAAGGGTGGGAGAGGACAATAAACTGCTCTTTTCCATCCACCCCTTCTTTGTCTTTTGGCGCATTCAGCATCTGGTCCAGTTTGGGGTGATCTGGGCTGGCACAGAGATAAATGACCATGAGGAATTGAAAATCAAGGTGGTCCATGGCCATAAGGATTTGGGTTGTCTCTGAGATTGGAGGTGGTAGAGCTGAAGGCACATCTCCCTGCTTTAATCCATGCATCAATGTGCCAGTATCCATTGACCCCCGTGAGGCTGTGTCAGCTCATACGTGTCCTTCCCATGGCCTGGTGGATGTTCTTCCCTCCAACAGCACTCTCTCCTGCTTGGGAATTAACAGGAGTTTCTGCCCTCCTGGCTTTCTTACCCGTTTCATGTGGTCATTCAGAGCGATTCTCATGCCGTTTCTCTTGCTCAGCATCTCACATGACATGAGGGTGTAGAAGATGCCAGTGCATACCAAGGGGAGGCAGAAATAGAAGCCAAAAAGCCACCAGTCCTTCACATCGCGGTAGAACTGCTCGCAAAAGAAAGAGTGACTGGAAATTTTTGGGAAAAAGGGTAACTTGGTTGCCCTCTTTGCCTGTATCTCCCTCTCCCTTGCATCGCAGGCGGGGTGGGATCGCGTACGTACCTTCATGAAGCTGGATTTCTGTTCGGAGGCGAGCATGCACACCCAGAGGTGTTGCTCCCAGTAGTTGAGCTCCACCATGTCGAAGGCTATGGCTTCAGGGACTGCAAGCACGATGGCCACTGCCCAGATCAGCAGTACCTCCACTGCCTTCCACATGGGGATCCCTATCCCCTGGATCCGACTCCAGGATGCCACCGCTCGGTACCTGCTCAACACGTGGCAATGCAACAGGAGCAGATTGGAGAAAAGCAACCATCAGGATGGGGCCAGGGAAGTGTAGATTAGAGGTGTCCCGAAAGGCCCTTTCCCTTATGCGTTCCTCCTCCACCCATGAACCTTCTGTTTTTGTGGAATGGGAAAGATGAGAAAAGGGCTCAATGGATGAGTGGAATGGTGGCTGCCACCCTTCCCCACCAGCCCAGCAGTTGCTCCAGCACATCACGATCCTCCAGCATATCACAATCCTCCAGCACATCATGATCCTCCCCTCAACCTTTTCCAGCAGAATTTAATCTCTGTCACCTGAGTCAGATGGTCTTTTTCCAACAGTTCCTGTTGATTGTCAACTCTACATGACAGGACTCTGTCCCCATATCTGAATTTGGTCTGAGACCAATGAAGGGACACGCTATGGCCAAATACGGGTCAGGCTGGGCTGTAGAAGCTGCTCCTTACCTGTCGATGCTGAGAGCACAAAGACTGAGGACCGTGATGCCCACCGAGGCCTTCTGGATGAAGGGGACCAGCTTGCAGACCTGCACACCAAAGGGCCAGTCCTTTGCCAAGAGCTGGGAAAGAACGGCAGGGTTAAGGGATGGCTTCAGCAAAGCGTTCCTATAATAGCAGGTGGTTGCCCACAAGGTGTGAGAAACCCACAAAGAGCAGCTGAAAGCCCTCTGAAGTCACCTCCACTGGGTTTGCACAGTGGGTGCTCTCTGGTATTTTGTGTTGGACTGGGAACCATTCGTTTCCCAAAGGGCTCTTTGTGAGGTGAGCTGGTGGGAGGATGGTCAAGACACCAGGTCCTGACTCCAGACCTTGGGTGTTTCTGAATGGATCTGAATCCTAAATGCCACAATGGGCTTTGGGTTGTTTTCAGGGGAAAAATGGGTGCTGTTCTCTGAAACAGCTAAAATCCCACAAGGACAGTTTCTTCCAGGTGGACTTCAAGGCCATGAAGTCTTAAACCCTTACCTCACTCTGACCCTGTACCACACTTACAGTCCTTATAGCACACATAAGGACATATAGCAACGCACTATTGGTCTCAAGTTCAGCTGGGTCACAAGGATAAAGCTTCCCTTTGACAAACCAACCTGATCTCCAAGCCCTTCACCCCATAGCATCCCTCCCAACCCTTCATATAGACCTCTAACCCCAGCCCACCACAACCTGTCTTGAGCAGCAGGCGAGAAAGAGCTGCAATAGCCCAGATGCATCTCACAGAACCCATAACACAACTTCTACATCTCAACACGGGTCCCAGGTCTACTGCCCACATCCACCCAACCCTTTCTGCCCCAGACCCTGGATTTTACTGGTTTTGTTGTGCCTCTTCTCTCTAGTTTAGGGGGCAATGCGTCTGAAAGAAGCCCCTGTTTTATAACACAGCACTCTTGCATGCTCCTGGAGAGTCTTCACATTTAGCTAGAATACAAAAGAGGTTTGCTTGAGGCTGAGTAACCGAACTGCACTGGGGCAAGTGTCCCAAGTGCACAAGAATAACAATAATTTTTGCTCAGCTGCAATAAACACCGCATAGTAATGTCAGGAGACCACGAGTTATTCTTTTCATGTGATTTTAAATGAGATTTAAAAGGTCTGGAAGGTTGCCTGCATGTGCATAACACAGCTCCCAGACATTGGTGCCGCATGGAGCCTACCTTGTACACGTTGATGGGCAGAGCAATGAGGATGTAGAGAAGGTCCCCAAGTGCCAAGCTGGCAATGAGGACATTGGGCCCATTCCTCATGCACTTGTTCTTGTAGATGATCCTCAGGAGTGTGGAGTTCCCAATGATCCCCACCACAAAGATGGTGCAGGACACAATGGTGTTGATGTACTTGAAGATGTGCCTGATGTCTGTCGGCTTGGCGCACACAGGCAGCAGGGGCGGCTCGGAGCTGGGGCTCTTGGGGAGGATTTCAGAGAAGTTCGATGGTTTGGGCTCCTGGAACAGGCTTTGCTGGACCAGGCTGAACGCCTGCTCCTGGCTCAGCACCTCAAAGGGGACAGTGCTCTCCTGGAGACCCCTGGGAGTCTGGCCCTGCACCCCAGAGAAAAGGAAAGTCAGGACAAGGGCCAGAGCGGTGGGAGCGGAGCTTCTCGCCATTGAGGACCGGACGGCAAAGCTGGGTGCAGAGATCATCGCAGCGCTCGAGGGACGTCCTTGCTCGGGTCTGCGTTGGAGCTGCGGATGGAGAAAGGGACAAAGGGCAGAGCTTGGTCAGCAGAGGGAGGAGGAACAAGACGGCACTGCACGAAAGCAGTTGCTGGAGGATGTCCATCGTTGCAGCGATCAGAAATAAAGCCTGTTGGATCCCATCTGGTCAATGCAGCTGGCCCCTGTGTGTGGGAGTCTGCTGCTAAAATTAAACATGTTGGGAAATACAAACTACAGGAAAACAAGCAGTTTCTTTAAAACAGTGTTTTTCAGCAAGTGAGGGCACCTGCTTCTCCTCCAGAGGTGTATTCATCACCCACTGCACCTTTGGAGGCCGGGGGTGCTGCTCTCCCAGAATTCTGATTTTTCTGCCCAGCACAGCCTCATATGCCCACCCCACACTTAGTTCTGATTTATTTTTTAATTTTTAATTATTTTATTTATTAATTTGTTATGAGTCTCATGTAGTTTCTGACTGAAGCAGCAGTTTTAGGGCACCTGCTCCATTGATGCCTGGTCCATTGCCAGGTCCACAGAACCAGCAGAGCTTTTTTCCCAGTTTGTGCTATAGGAAAACTGGAGCTGCAGTCACATTCCACTGCTCAGCAGATCCCATGGGCTGCCCTACACCACCTCAGTACAGAGTGTAAAGCCTCAGCACAGCCTTGCTGGGAACCATGATGGGAAAACACTGTGAGGGTTTTTCCAGAAATGCTGTATCGATACCTGACATCTTATTCCGATTTATGTACGAGTAGCACAGCCCCTCCTTCCCCATCCTCATCGCCACTAATTGCATTGCTTCCTTTCCACATCCACTGTGCCCATTCGGCTCAATGCTCGGGGACATAAATCTTGGCTGCTGAGCGCAGTAAAAGGTCTCTCAAGCACACCAAGGCCTGGAGCACCACTCATAAATATCACCAGAGCGGGTTCTGCTTTGCACATCGCTTTCAGGCAGGAGGAGCTGACCTGCTGCTCCACAACAGCCCTTTCTTCACCCAAAGGGTTGTCAGGCACTGGAAGGGGCTGCCCAGGGCCGTGGTGGAGTCACCATCCCTGGAGGGGTTTAAAAGCCAGGGAAATAAGGTGCCTGGTTCAGAGGAGGACAGGTTACGGTTGGACTTGATGATCTTAAAGGTCTTTTCCAGACCAATGATGCTGTGACTTTGCTCTGGCCTGTTTTGATGTTACTCTCAGCTATGACTCCTGCTCAGATGGGAAGGGACTGAGGGAAGAAAGGAAAGGAGAGAATGGATAAATAATCCAAAGGAGCATAAACCTGGCTCATTGGAGGCCTAGGAGCAAATCCCAGCTCCAAAAGGGTGCAGGGCTCCAGCCTGTACTTTGCTGAGGTCCTCAGTTCTCCATCCTGCACCAGGGGTCTGCTGTGCCATAGCTGGGTGCCCTGATCACTGTCTTTCTTTCCCCATTATACCTGCAGGACTGGGACACGCAGCTCCAAATTCCTGGTAAGATCCCGGAGGCTCTGGGCAGCTTCGGGTGGCACAGACAAACGTCTGCCACTTGGGGGGCTTGGAGGAAGATGGGGGTTCCCCAAGGCAGCCAAGGGGTCCCAGAGCACCCCCCACACAGGACTTGAGCCTGGTGTGGCCATCCAGCCCCCAGGTATTTGACAGAGGAGCTGATGTGAGTCAGGATCACGGGACATGGCTCGCTGCATCCTGCCCACCCGCCATGGCACAGCAGCAAAGCGTTGAGGAACATAAACACTTCTCCCCACTCTTGCCTTAAAACCCAGCAATTTAGTAAAAGAGCAGCATTGTTTTCTCCTTTCCAGCAGCCCAAATACTTCTCACTCTCCATGCTCCCTCTCACATCTCAGATCTCTTCAAAGCATAACCCTTTCTCAATTGTGGGGGAAACTGAGGCACGGAAGAGTCAATAAACTTGTTCAGTACCCAACAGATGTGAAACCAAAGCCAGCATTGCTTGACCCAAAATTCTCAGAGCTTTGCCCATGTTGCTGATCACCTGGGGAAGCGATTTGGTGTAATCCCCATCCCACCTACTCAGGGTCCCTCTTGCCCAGGAGCCCACCATGTCCCAGGTTAGCCTGCCCCACCACAGCACTGCCTTCAAGAGCAGCTCCCCTTGTGATCTTCTGCCACACCAACCTGGCCAAAACCAGACCTTTTCTGCCAAAAAAAGCCACATCTATTAGCAAAAATGCCATTTTGGAGGGCATTTTGGGGGAAAAGTGGAGAGAAATTGTGATAATGCCACATCCCCAGCTGCTTCCCTGACCAGAGCCCAATGCGGTCCATGAGCAGAAGGACCAGAGGTGTCCTGGGTTTCTTCTCCCTGCCCACCCCTTAGACCTTGTTTAGGCACTGTGGTCCCTTCAATGCCACCCCAAGAGTGGGGACTGGTGGAGAGGGGAATCCAAGAAAGTTGCAAAAACTCACCCCAAAGCAATAAATAATTCTGTTTGCAAATAAGCACATGAAACAGCAAAGCTTTTCGTGGGAGCTGAGTTACCTTCTTCGTACCCACACACTTGGGATGCTCCTGGGATCGTTTTCTCTCCCTCTCACAGCTCCATTTCCTGCGTGGGCAGCTGGGGATGCCCCGCAGACCCGGGGGGTCTTGCAGTGTTGTAGATCCCAGATTTCAGACTCGTGCTCAGGGGGTGACGTTTCTCCCCTCTCGTGACTCGCTGATGTCTCGCCACACAGGGCAGCTGGTTTTATAGAAAATCACAAGGTTTTATGGAAATTCTCCCCCCGAGCACGGCCTCTGTGACCAATGGGCGCAGCGCGGGATAGAGAAGGAGGAGGAGGGTGAAGAGGGAGAAACGCGAGACAGGGAGGAAAATCATAAACAAATAACGCTCGGGGGGGAAGGGAGGGAGGGAGCTGCTGGCCGCAGACCAGCAGGCTTGCCCTCCACGCTGTGGTGATGGAGCCCCGCGGCCGTGCTTTGCTGGAGGAAGCTGCAGCATCGAGCACCCTTGAGAGAGGAGGCGTCAGAGCCATCTCGGCCCTGGGTGCTCTACCTGCAGCCTTGAGGAGATGCTGAGGAGCACAATGAGTGCTGCAGGCAAGGCAGAGAGGACCTGCAGTTTCCCTTCTGGCACAGAGGACAAGGTGTAAAAAGTCCTCAATGAGGAGCTGGGGAAGGCCAAGCCTCGCTTTTCCTCCTAAAGCGGTCTCATCTTATTGGAAAGTTTTATTTCCTTACCATGTGCAAACCTGGCTGTTCTCAGGAACGGGGGATTTATTTGGTGTGTGGCAGGTGGTTTATTAAAAAAAAAAGCCAAATCACCTTGCTCTGAGGTCCTCAGTGGCTGAGAAATATGTTGACATGATGCAACAATATTAAGCCAAGGCAACTCCGCCTTGGTGCAGGAATCCCTTTGCCCTTTGAGCCCCAAAACAAGGACAGAAAGAGTAGGTTCAGACTGATGTGCTATCTTTCACTTACGGTTCCTTCTTTCCAGTGAATTAAACCTCAGTTTTGATCAAATGTTTCAACTTGTGCAGGATCTCTGCTACTCACAGGAGAACCTCAGAAGTTCACAAGAAAACACTGTAATATGTATGCCCTGTTACAGTGTTTTTTTTCTGAGTGGATTGGACTCCCTCTCATCTTGAAACTTGGCCAAAGATGGCAATGAGAGTTTGTCCAGCCTGGCTTTTCTCAGTGGTCAAGATTTGTAAATAGAGTAGAAATAAGCTATATTGGTTGTTTGGGAACTTTCTTCCTTCCTTGTGTGAAATCGAATTATCTGTGTTTCTCCACTGGCTCATCTCCATGGTTTCTTGAAGATTTGGTGAATCAGAGCTGTGGATAATCCACAGAAAAGTTACGTCTTTATTTGCTGCACACCCTTGTTTATTGGAGACGACTCCTTACTCAGAAGAGTGGGGAACAAAACTTCCATTCAGACTTTTATCTCTGCACCCCACTAAGCTTCCCAAATTGGAAAGTTCATCTTAGGGATCTGTCATCCTCTCATCTCTCCCTGGCTCAAGTCTTGGTCCATCCTTGTTTTGCAGTTAGAGATGTGATGGCACATGTCCCCAGCAGCACTTTTGGATGTCTCATACCTGGCCCAAGGCCAGGTTGGACAGGGCTATGAGCAGCGTAGGCTCGGTGGTGGTGCACATGGGGAGCTTTTAGGTGCCTTCCCAAACCAGCCTGTGGTTTGATCATCTCTGGCCTTGCTTTAGGGGCACATTTGGTCAGTAATGCTCATAGATGTCTTCAGCTTGCAAGCATCTGTCCCAAAGTTAACTCTGGACCTCAGTGAAATATTTCTGCACCTTGGTGGATGCCTGTGAGACTGAGCCTGGGCCTTCAGTCTGGGCCAGGGTGGGAGCAAAGAAGCTTATGACCAGCTGCTGTCTTTGAAAGGCACCAGGAGGTGACCTCTCATTATTCCCTATGTGTCTGCCCCTCTGCACGCTTACATTGCCCAGACAAATCAGGAAATATGGACCTCAAATATCTCGTCTCTGCCTGGGGCAGAAGTCACGGCATATCAGTTGATGCCTCCTTTGACCCATTGGCCCATTGGGATGGCTGCAGCTTCTCCAACACAGCTTCTCTTGGCTCTCTCCCCAACACACATGAGCCTGCACAGCACCTCTCCACCAAGGAGGGATTCCACAGCCCTATTCTGGGACAGTCACGTTCCTGCATGTGACAGGGGCATGAATGGGCCTTTCTGTTCTGCCAGAGAAAAAGCGAAACCCTAGCCCCCCTTGGAGACCCCCAGGAGAACAGCGATCTTCTTGTACAGTTAACCCGTGTCCTTGAGACACGACTCAGTGTCAAAGATGATGTTAAGGGTCACTGAAACCATCAAAATGAAGAAACTGCTTCTGAATGCAGCAGCAACCAGTGACACAGCATCGTGCAGGCCAGCAACGGCTTCACGGGATCCATTTTGCACAGATTGCCCTTCCATTTTAAAGACAACATGTCAAATATCATTAATTTGGCTTTCTGCTGCCATTTGTGCTTAACCAATTTCTATGCAAGTGGCACGGAAGG